GCCATCTCGAGCTCACGGCTCTCTTTGACCTCCGTCCCGCCGCTGACTCTCCGTCCCTGGTTTCATACATTCTCTGACACCGGTTGCGTTCTCGCATTGCCATAACTTTCCCTGGCGTGTGGGGTTTCGCCCGCTTACACCACTCCACCACAGAGTCACCGCAGTAGACGTTAGATGAGCGCTGTCGCTATGCGGCACTTGTTTGATAATACCAACCGTTTATTTTGCAGCATGCAGCATGCTACAGAAAAGGATCGTTCAGTTGGTGGTAGATTCTTTTGGAGCCCAGTTGTATAGCAAAGCCATTGAATGCTTACATGCTCTCAGGGATGATAGCGTAAAGGTACGTTTTTTAATTGTGTTTATCAGTATTATGATCTTATCAAAAACCCCATACATTTTTGTAGGGGTACTAATGCATGTCGTTCAACCGTAAATGTAAATCTAACAAATCCTCAGTTATTGGAATAACTTTATAAATTTTCCATTTTCAGAATAGTAGTCCAGATAGCTTTAATCTTTTCCTGAAAGAGTTCAAGACAGACATGCTTAAAAGCAGAGCATGGTTTTGGGAGATGGCTGTAAATGGTATCTACTTTGGTTGCTTTTGTTTTTTAATTCCACGATTTCCACTAGAAAATTTATTATGCTCTTGATTGACTGACGCTGATTGCGTTTGTATATTCGACCCTCTACTACTGCTCAACATTTACTGTGAAATTCTGTCTCAAATGCAAGGTCTAATAACATATGATTATATCAATGAAATGCCATGTCTCATATGTTTTACAATAATGTTTTTAGAGAGGTTGACTTTGATCAGTGCCGTTGAATGCACACCTAGTGATGTTAGTCAAGAAGAAGCGGATGCCTTCCTGGTTAAGGATACGAAGGAGGTTGTAGATACTATCCCTGCAGTGGCAGAGGTTGAGGAAGCTGATGACCTGGTGAGACATCACATAATAGGTTTAGATGCAAAATATATGGAGAGATTATAGTGCAGGGTAAAAAATACACGGGAGCGATGAGCGATTCGCTCTTCAAATCTCCGAAATCGCTCCCGTGAGGCTCAAAATAGCTCCCGTAAAATTTTTGACGAGAGCTATTTTTCCCACAGACTTGAAAAAGCGCTCTTGTGGAAAAAGTTTCCCCCCCTGTTATAGGGGCATATATAAACAGAGGATTCATGGATATAAGTGGAAATTAAGACAATACAACATTCATAGTATAGGATTGGAATTACAGTATCTGATTTGAAATATCACTTTAATCACACTTAAATATTGTAGTGTAAATATTAGTATTCCTGTCTATGAAATCGCTTTCGATATATTGAAAATTGAATAATCTACATCATAAGGAGTAATGTAATGTGTACTAAGATACCAAAATTATATGGTTGATAAAATACTGATATTTATTTTATTTCAGCTTGACATGATGTAAAAAGAGCATGTAAAATGTGTGAAAAGGTCCTTATAAACTATGCGAGAGATGCATCGGCCTGAAAGAAAAACTTGCTGTGCTTATAGAGAAAAAGTAATCACAGGTTGTACTGTGTACTAATGCTGTGGCTAATACCGATTGTAAAAATCAAGAATCGGATGTTTATTTCACACGGTTTCGTGAATAGACATTTTTGTAATAAATATATTAAGAAGCACTATATATAGGTAGGTAGGTAGGTATTCATAACGATGCATATGCATGTACACAAATTTCTGTCAGGGGGCCAGATTGATGTCAGGATCAGGAATACTGTATAGCGAATCATGTGGTTGTCTTGAGCCAGGTTGCATCCGAGGTTTTTGCTATTGCAAGAAATTTTGCTTCGTTTGGTTGCAAAAGCCATTAATGTCAAGGTGATTGCTGCAACAGAAGTGTAGACTTCTGATATAACCTCAATACCTAAATATTCAGCAGAGGTCAATGCTGGAAACATGATGTAATTTTCGTTGAGTGCATTGCTGCCTGGCCAAGGTGTGTTATGTGAAAGTGGCAAGGGGAGGAGTGCCATCGCCTTTCATGTTTATCATATCAAAATTGAAATAACCCATTAATTCTTAGCACAATTCCTATATTATTTTTCATGCCAATGATTATTATGCATCAAGTATTGTAATTTAAAATTAATAGGGGTTCTCTGGGCTATTACATCTTTACTAATAGAGCTGCTAGCTATGTGCATATTCCTTCTCACAAAGCCTCTGAACAAGGAGCAAATCCAGAAGCTACAAGGAGCCTGGACATCAACGGCTGCAATCACAAGGAAGGGGGGGGGGGTAATACAAGCCTAATATTTCATTGTGGCAAAATTCATGGTCGAAATCGAGTAAAGTATTTTAAACTTATATATGTACTAGAAAAAATATAGTCAACATCTATTGAGTCTTGGATGAGATAGAATAAAATACTTTTAACATAAAACATGTGAACATTCCACGTTGATAGATGACTTTATGTCTCAAAAATTTGTATTGTGCTATACATGTCGATACATTAATTGCAGCTGATAGCAATGTGACTCACCTGGGAGCCACTTACATAGGATTCTGTTAATTGGCTTGCTATACTGCAGCCTTTAACAGGTTATGTTTATGCCTTCTTGGATTGTACATGGTACGAGACTTTGGCAGTGATCTTTGTTTGGTCCTTGTAAATGCAACACAGTAGATTATACTCTAAAGCCAAACCTCGAATGACTAGTCTATATAATTATATAATTATCTCGTAAATGCTCTTGTAATTGACTCCCACTTGCCTCTATATCCACGTGTATAAACGTGCATATATCTGATAGCAAGACGTAAAATGCAAACCAATAGAAATCTCATGGTGAAATTATCACATCACAGCATAACAATCAACATTATACAAACGAAAATGTGTACACATGTAAAGTAGCCGTAAAAGTAAACTAGTGCCGTTCTGTTGCTAAACATACATGTATGTTAAGACACAGTGTACGGTCTGGAACATACACAGTGTGCGTTCCTGCACACTACTGCTCTATAGATAAGTTCCCTATTATCTACTTCTGATATTACTGAATATTCCTGTACAACGATAAACTCGGGACAAGTGCTTCAATGAAAATAATTCATGTTCTCCTAATGCACGTGCTTGAAATGAGGGAATAGGTAAGCCATCTATTAACCAGTTATTTAGTTCCTTTTATAGAAATCTACAATTACATATTATCTATAGTGTATTCTTGCTGTTGCTGTGCATGACTGTACGACTTAATGAGGGCATAGGGTCATTAACGTGTCGAATAGTTGGCAAGAATGTTCACTAGAATTTATTTCTTCAATATTAAAACTGCTGAAGCAGTGATAAAATAATGAAAGGTTTATTATCTGTACAATTATTTTTATTTGTAGGCATAAATTTGACCATGTTGGCAGACTTTTGTGTCACACTTGGCAAGACCTGAAAAAAGATATTTATCAAAGGCAAATACTCTGGTATTATAAATACTGATTCTATGAAAGTAACTTAAACTTCACATTTTTACAAAAAAGCAATACAGTATAACAAGCTCTACGGGGCATTGATTCCCAATATTGATCTTTTTGCTGTAAGTGGGTGTTTTATATTTCACCAGGTATGCACACAAATAGCCACTATACTGTATCTATCTACACGTGTCCACTTAATAACTCTGTAAAGTTTAAGGCAGAAAATCCCAAAATCAACAGTGTCACGAATGGAAAGCAAATATTATACTAAAATAATAAGTAACACGTGAGAATACAGTGATATTACAGCTGACTGACACAGGCGACGGTGCACAAATGGATACATGCAGAAGTAAAACAAGTGCCGCAGAGCGACAGCGCTCATCTAACATCTACTGCGGTGACTCTGTGGTGGAGTGGTGGGATTCTAGTAAACCCTGTTAGTCCCAAATGTGTTCACATACACGCCGAAACAGTGGAATGCACAGGGATGGTATCAGGAACCTTCTCAAAGGAATGTTCGTTGGGAAGAAAGTTGAACGAGATGGCGCGTACGTTTAAGTGTCTTCAGATTAAAGATGGAAGCTCCCATCGTACGTAGTAGCAACAACTATTTGCAAGACAGAATAGGTAAGCACTCATCCATTTACCTAGGCAAGCCTACAGGCTGCAATAGAGAGCTGCCACCTGTAACCAATTAACGCAGGCAAAAACTACACAGTATCACCAACACATGCACTGGCAGTAGACACTGGCAGTGGCATACGTTACATGTAACATACTGACAGTACAGAATGCCATAGAAATTATACGATTTAAGGAGCATAAACCTTCTTTAACCAAATTTAGCTTTTGAAATTTCACTGTGACATTGTAGCCTCATACATCCAGGCATGTATAGATTCTACTAGCAAACCCGGCAGTCAAATTCTTTCTAACAGACAGTCAACAAATCCATGTTTAACCCTCCTCTTGAGGGTCAAAAGGTTATCTGACACTTACTCTTCGCATGTCAGCAGAAAGTAGATTTCATGGTCCTTTCAATAATGCCATAAAAATGCTAGGTCACCGCTGAAACAAAAAAGTTTTTCAATCGCTCCGTCAGACCATGTCCTCATAAAATGTCTAAAATCTGCCCTGTGCCCATTGACCTTTGACCTGTGACCTCCAATTTCGGCACAGTGATGGCTTTTCCTACCATGATGCTATACACCGACTATCACGAGCCTATAGGTCGAGCCGTTTAGATTTGTGCCGCAATTCTGCATTTCCTCCCTATACCTTAAGTTAAGGAGTGAATGTTCCCCCTTCTTTTACACCTCTTGACCTTTGACCTTTGACCCCCAGCTTCGACATCCCAACTCGTTTTCGGATTACCGAATATCGTGACCGTACGTCGAGCGGTTAAGATTTGTGCCCAACTGTTGACGGACGCACGGACGCACGGACGATCATGCGATTCTACAAGCTGCATCTGACTATGTCAGATGAGCTAAAAACACACAGGGAAAAACATGATGACCACACTAAAATTGCCTATGTGTAATTAAACTACTAGCACCAATCACTCGGTTATGATCCACCCCGACAAAAATTCACTCATTCGAAACTTGCGCTGGTGCAAACTAGAAGCTCGTCTCTCTTTATCTCTCGGCGGCTACACTCCAAACTTGACCTGCAGAATTCCTATTTCCTGGGTCGTGAACTTGCCCGAGCTGCGCTCCCTCAGCTTGTCAAAGATTCTCCTTAGTCCTGGATAACATGCAGAGAGTAAAGTGAGATGCAGGTTTTAACAGTTTGGTAAACTCGCTTAAGTCATTTTAGAATTGATGAAATATTTTTGGCAAATATTACGTTCTAACAGCAAACAACGTTCTTACGTGCTAGCAATTAATGCTGCAAAGTAACTAGTTAAATCTTGCAAAGTTATTGTAGATGTACTGTATTTGTTATTTGCAACAATAAGATATGACGACTTGCATAACAATCAAACTAGTACGTAGTATCAAGCACTCGAGTGGGGGAGTAGTAATATTAATCAAGACAATTTAGCTTACTGTTTCGTTCTGGATCAGTGAAGAACATTGACACCATACCAAATCTCTGCACTTGGCAAAGATTCAATAAGTATTGGTAGGCAAGCTCCGTTTTATCTGGAAATACCAAACAAGTGCCGCAGGGCGACAGTGCTCAACTGACGTGTACTGTAGCCGGGTATTCTTCTGATAAACTCACTGGCAACCGAATCAAGTGCGCCCTCCCGCCACCGCGTTGATTAGATATCGCGTCGAGTCCTTTTCGCGATCCCCCCCCCATCCCCGACGTCCCGAATATCAAGACCGTACGTCGAGCGGTTATCATTTGTGTCCAACTGTTGACGGACGCACGGACGGATGCACGGACGGACGGACAATCATTCGATTCTACAAGCTGCATCTGACTTCGTCAGCTGAGCTAAAAATACCAACTTAATGCACTACTGTATCAGTATATCTCTTTATCTATCTATCTCTATCTCTCTCTCTCTCTATATATATATATATAGAGAGAGAGAGAGAGATAGACAGATGGATACATACATAAGATAAGTCATTGACAAACCTGTGCTCATTTCAGAATTGTAAAATGATAAATTTCTTACCTTTGTCTATGAAGTGTTCATCAGTGCATGCAACAATCATGTTGAGCATTTCTCCATCCAGCTTGTTGCTGATCACTGAAACATGCAAGTACTTATAGCATGAGCAAATCATTGTCACGTAAACTGTTTTGTACTGTGACTGATAAGCTAACTGCATAGCATGGCCATGTATTTTAGAATTTACTGATAGCTCATATTATTTTGATCTATTCACTAAATATGAGGCATAGCACTACAGAATAAAGAGGGTGTGAGTAATCTCTAGACATAATGTCATATTACCATTAATTCTAAACTCTAAACACTATATGCTATACACAAATCTTCACATATTTTATATGATTATGAAAATTTAAAAAACTGTCCAAGCTTCAGGACTCTATGAATTTGTTCATCTACAAAAATTCACAAAAATAACTAGGTTTTGAGGAAAAGACAGTTGCAGTCACCTTTCGGCAATTCCCGGGGCTTCACCTGGGATAATAACCAAGCATAGGGTTCTGTTCCTTCTGTCTTCTTTAATCCATTCCATGCTGACAGAAACTCGTATGGTGTTGCCTGAAATCATAAATGGTAACTTCTATTAAGAATTTATATACATAAAATTATTACCATAAAGAAACAAGGTACTGAAGAATTTTTCAGCAATACTATAAAAATGAAAAAGCAATGATACAATAAAGATATTAACAAAGCATTTATATAATTTTATTAAAATTTGTAATTAATTTGATGTAGTAAGCACAGGGGTAGAAATAAGGACAATATGCAAGTTAGCCCGAAGGGCTAGTAAGGTAAGGTTTGTACTAGCCCTTCTGGTTTTCAACTAGCCCTTAAAAGCATGATGTCGATAGTGGTTGCGCGGGAAAATTGTTGATCTCACGAATGCTCCGAGATGCTTTCTGAGGGTATTGTGTATTGTTTATATTGTGTATTGTTGTATTGAGAGGTTTGTTTATTTACAATCATTTTATTATTAAAACAGCCAGAGTGACTGTGAGTGTGACTATAACACTGTATTAGTGGAACAGGTCTTCGATGATGGAGGTTGCCATGTTGATACCAACGCTATAGACGGGTCCCCCGACACTCTACATTGTGTTATTACATGAGAAGGAACGCATGGACGGGCGAACGCACGCACGCGCACGCACACGCACGCACGCACGCACGCACGCACACACACACACACGCGCGCGCGCGTTTACAACGCCCACGTGCAACACAAGAACACGTATCACCGACACGCGTATACGCACGCACACACGTCGCACACACGCGCTCAATCACACACGCGCTCACGCACACACATCACACACACGCGCTCACGCACACACATCACACACACGTGCTCACGCACACGTCGCACACACGCGCTCACGCACACACGTCGCACACACGCGCTCACGCACACACGTTCATTTCACGAATTACGAAATCTGGTCTGGAATTGTTAACTTGCTTGCCCGACGGGCAAGCCACCCTGGCCTTTAACTAGCCCTTCCAAACAATTACTAGTCCCGGGCTAGCGGGCTAGCGGCTAATTCGACCCCTGTAAGCATAGTAAACCAGTGAATACTGCGATTGAACACAGCGTCAGCACACATTTAATACCTTTTTAATTGATGGTCGAAGTTTGGAATCTTT